AAGAGTGAAAGTGAGAAAACTCGTGGGTTGAGATAAAAACAGTTTAATAATTGAAATAAAATACTACTACTAATAATAGTAATAATAATAAGAAGAATATAGAAAGCAAGTGATGCACAATGCAATTGGTCACCACCCGCCGACCGATGCCCAGCCAGTCCCCGAGCAGTGGCCCCCCCAGCCAGCTTTCTCCAGTTTATGTACTGAGCATGACGTCACATGGTATGGAGTATCCCTGGGGCCAGTTTGGGTCAGCTGTCCCGGCTGTGCCCCCTCCCGGCTTCTTGTGCACCTCCAGCCTTCTCAGTCGGTAGAGCATGGGAAGCTGGAAAGGCCTTCACTAGTGTAAGCACTGCTCGGCAACAACTGTAACATCAGTGTGTTATCAACCTTATTCTCATCCTAAATCCAAAACAGAGCACTATGCCAGCTACTAGGAAAGAAATTAACTTTATCCCTGCTGAAACCAGGACACTGTCATATTCACTAGTGCCAAAACTAAATGGACTTGATAGATGTGTGTGACTTAATCGCTTTCTGGTTTGCTGATATCAGTGATAAACTTAAAGATTTTGTAACTAGTAAATCTTATCTTCTTATCCATCATTTTTAATTTGGATTGAAAAGAGGAAGACTGGTATTTTATATCTCCTAAATATTCGTCATGCGTGAATGAATTAATAAAATAAACCAAATGGAAATGAAAAGAATGTTCTCTTTGTCTATGGAATTATGATTATCAGTTGCACAGATACAGGTTCTCAACATTTATCCAGTGACTTCCTATACTCATGCTAAAACTTTGAGCAGAGGAAGATTGACATCTCAGATAAGGTGTTTTTTAATTCATCTGATTTTAACATACTGCGTTAAGTTTGACCATAGTATGCTTTGTGGTGATTTTAAATTTTAAGCTGCTTGTTTTGCAGAGAAAATAATTTAAGTTGTATTTAAAAATAATTTTAAATTAAAAAGCAATTCATTTGTATTAAACCTGAGGAGAAGATTCTTTGGAAATAGTTATACCCTTGCCCAGCCATCTATAGATTCACAGTTGTTCCTTAGTACTTTGCCTGTAATTCAAAACCAGATTCTGCGAATATTAATGCTATGAGGAAAATAGAGTAAAATAGTAACATCGAGGAGAGGGAATATTTTAATAGATCTTATGTATTTAAAAAATTGTGACAAACTTTGTAACTTCCTTATAATTAATAATTTTATAATATTTTTTTCCTAACCTCCCTCTTGATCTACCCTCTTTCTGGAAACATTTTTTTACAACAGTGATGAGTTCTTGTAATATTTCAAATAAAGCCAAGCAATGTTTATTTTCATTGTATTTAATAAGTTGGAGTGAGTGGGGCATAGAATTTTCAGATGCTATCTTCATGGAAAATTAATACAAATAATCATACAATGCTTTCTGTATTTATTTGAAATGGTAAGAGCCCTTTCCATGTGAAAAAAGGAAAGTGCTATTGTCATAAAATTGCCTGTCTAATCTGAGTATCCTTGCCCACTCCCCACCCCCAATAGCAGTAACTGTTTCAATACCACTGCCTCCCCCAAACATTGAAGAGGTTAAAATAACTCTTTGTAGGTAGACCGCATTTTACTTGCAAGTAATTTACTAAGATGATTTGCTGAATGTGATTGTTTTTAATGTATTTGCAGGTACAGAAGCAAAATGTTTATTTTACAATCAGTAGCCTGTATTTCTTAATCACTATGGAAACACTGATGCATGGACCAATGCATTTTTATCAACTTGGTAAGTTGCCTGTACCTTTATATTGTAAGAGGAGTAGTACTGCTAATTTTTCCACCAATACTCCTCCCGAGTTATTGAAGTAAGATACCATCATCTTATGATAGAGCTCTCCCTGGAATAATTCACAGAATCAAGAATCTAGTGTATTATATTCTACATACTCCATTCTATACATAAACCATGATTTTCCTGTAAGAAGGAAATGCTCTGAAACAGCATACTGCATTTTGCCTCTCTAAATGTCCAGTGAACTCTTCGTTGGATGTGTTGTGTTTCATTTCTTACCCTAATTTTTTTCAGGACTCCTTAGTTTCTGGATTAGCAGGCACAACAAACATAGTTTGTTGGCTGAGCTGTAGCTGTAGTGAGAAACTGTTTTGATAGGATCATTTAATTCTGTAAAAAGGATAAAATGGTAAAGAAGATTCCCCATTCAGTTTACAGACCATCTTTATTTCTCCAGTCTTAATTTTCCAAGTTATTTGGTGTAAGATTTTTTTTTTCTTGTCTGTGTCTCTTATGTAAGAGTGTAACCTACAAAATTTTGCAACTCTCCAAGTATCTCCAACATGTTTGTTGAAACAAAGTTCTGAGGCAGCGTGAACTCTAGATGAATGGAATTTGATGTTGATTAACATTCATGATAGGGGAGAGGCATTTAAAAATCACAAATATGGACAGAATAGAAAAACATTTATGTCAACAGGAAATGCATCAGCAAGACAGCTGACACATGTGAGGTGGCCAGCATAAGAGAGAATGGCAAAAAACTGTTTGCATCTCCTAATCCAAAGGGCTTGCTCCAAGGAAGTGTGTCATTACTAGAGTCTGTGCACCGACACTCTCTGTTTCTATAGTGGGAATAGCCTTAATGTGCTAAAGGCTGTGTGCCTGTTGGGAGAAGGGAGAATTCCTGCCACAAAGGATTACAAATCTGAGCTTGTGTTCAGGTAAAGAATAATAACTGTTAAAGTATTGCTTTGTTATTCATACCCACTGGATGTTTTTTCCAGATAGGTGATCTGTTATTATATGGCAAGAACTCAATTGTTCTACTTTTAACTGCACTTCTCTAAGGGGATGTTTATTACTTAGTAATAACATAGAAGAACAAGTGCAAAAGGAAGATGTACAAGCATCTGTGGTTTGAATGGCAAAATGAAGCTTGGAAAAGATGAGTTTTCTGTCTTGTGAAAATATAAATTTGCTGCACGTGCAACTCAAGTGAGTTGCTTAATCTCTTTGCATCTCATTTCAGAAGGGATGCTGGGAGCATAGTTTAATATTTGTGAGACAGATGTCTGAAGAGCCAGACTTATAGGAGATACTTGGCTAAGTATCCATCCCAAATGATTTCAACAAACTTAGGTGCTCAAGTGTATTTATGTGTGCTTCTGTGTGTGCCCACTGCTAATTAAAGGGCAATTTTTAAGGCACTTCTCTGCAGCCTTAAAGATTCTGTGCAGATATCTCTTTAATTAATCGAGTAGGAAATTTTTCCTTTCCTCTTCCAGTACTCTCTGCAAAAGTAGACAAGGATCATAAAATAACTGCATTAATCCATTAGGAAATTCTCCCAGTGTGTCTGGGACAGGACTGTTCCCACTGACCCACTACTGTTCTGAATCCCCTCTACTTTACCAGGGATATGTATTCTGGTACTATGTTTCACATAGTCAGGGGTTGGACCAGATGACCTCCGGAGGTCGCTTCCAACCTCAACCATTCTGTGATAGTCCTGCCTTATCCATTATTTGTAGATCTCCATAAAGATTGTTTTAATTTTTTAATGAGGTATGTCCCAGATTTCTTTCCTCTTTTCATGGTCATTCTTACTGTGGCACATTTTGTTGACACATCGGGTAGTTCTGTTACATTATTTGTCATAGTGTGGCACCTGAGAACCTCAGTTGTGGACCAGAGTGCTACTGCGTTAGTTGCTGTGCAAATGTAAAGTCAAAGACATTCCTCATGCTACAGAAGTTACCATTCTAAGTGAGATGAGGAGAATAAAAGAACATGTTAAGGCAGTATTAATCAGCAGAGTTCAACAGAGGTAGCAGGCCAGCGGTGTTTTAGGTATTGTCATATTTTTGGGTAGAGGGTTTAGGGAGAAGAGTTTAGGGAAAATAATGAAGTAATTTTGCAGATATTTCCATGGAGTTTGTCAAAAGCATGCATGTTGCAAATTGCACTAATAATTTCTTTCACCAACTGAGTATGGGAGTAGGCATCTCATCAGTAGGAGGATAGGCCACAAAATACCTTTAAAATGAGGACAGGAAGTTTATATTTGTTGCACTCAGAAGGCGGAAGGGAGCTAAAGGATCTTGAGAAAAAAATTAGAAGGGTCAAAACAATAACTTCAAGAATGGCTTGAAGCACCACACTGAAAAGATATGAATGATGCAAGACTGGGTTGGTCAAGGAGAAGAATTCTGGATACAGTGAGAATCTGGGTGAACGAACAGTCTCTTACGGAGGCTATACAAGAAGATGTGGGGACCTCTATATGTCAGGATCTGCCAGAAGGCCAGGTTCAAGAGATAACTCGGGCAGTAGGCCTGACTGACAGGCTGAATGTGGCCTCACCCACGCCCTGTGACAGGAGAAGAAGAGTTGCAGCATCTGTTGGTGTTTTTTTTTCTTTTCTTTTGCAGGCAGAGAATAGAATGCTGTAGAGTTAAACACCCACAGGGAAATGTTACAGAAACAGGACACAAAATAGAGAGGGAGTTATGAAATAGAGCCTGAAACAGGGAGTTACAGGAGTTAGCTGACTGAAGACAGTGAGTAATATACCAAAATTGTTAAACTACAGCCTTGAGGACTCCCCACGTTTAGCAAAGAAGGACATCTGTGAAGATGATTCAATGACGTTCTTCAAGCAGTAATAGTATCTTTTCCCAGACCAGTTTTAAGATTCTTGTCATGACTTAAAACGGTGTTTAATAGACAGTGAGCTACCTGAAATATAGTCAGAATCCTCTAAGAGAGTATTTGATAAGAACATCTTAAGTACGTTTATTCACACTGAGTCTTGAACCTTACCTGGCAGGGATCAGCATAAGCCTGAACCACTGTGTAGTTATCAAAGAACTAGTTCCTAGGAGCCTCGAATTAATGATAGAGGTTGGAAGGGGACATTCCATACTCTGGGGAAGGAGGGAAGGGTAGAGGAAAGTAGTAGAAAGATGATGTGAAAGAAAGAAACAGTTCCACTGAGGGAATACTGAGTATTGTTGCAAATTAATATTGCCAATAAAAAGCTAATAATCAGACATTGTAGACGTACAAATGCATTAATACGTAGTTTCATTTTCCAGTGTACATCAGCGTTCTGTCTACAGCTTGTTCTTGCAGCTTGTCTGGTAAGAGTTTTTATTGTCTTTCAAATGCTTTTCCTAACACAGTTCAAAAAAACTTGCATATTCTCACCAAGCATTGTTTTAAAACTTCATGCTTTTTGAAGAGAGAACTTAATAGAAATATAATACAGGAGGACAGTCCTTTGCATTGTTGTTTCTATTGTGCTGAGCTCTGTTCTGTGGTTGCTTTATTTTGGGGCAAATACTGGGCTGTTCTAATTGCGTTTATTGATTAGAATTGTTGCAATCTCACATTTGTTTGCCATTCATATTGGTGGGTTGTTTGGTTTTGTTTTTTTTTTTTCCACTTCCAGAAAGATCTCTGGGAGGGCCACCTCATGACCTACAAATGAAATCTTGCAATTTTCAGCACATTTTGTCCTGGCAGGCAAAAAGCGATCCAACTGTGCCAACATACTATCGCGTGCTGTACACTGACCGCAGGCAAGTCTTATTTTAAAAGACACAAATTTGACTTTTAATGTTTATCGACTCAAAATACTAAGGCTGGGGTTTTCTTGTTTTTTGTCTGTTTTTCCCCTCGGAAATGCTTCCCCCCCCACCAATGCTTTTTTGTATCAGAGAATCCTGATAGATTATTTTGATCTTTTTTTAACTTGTTTTCATTTACAGGAACTGGAAGACTGCTAAACAATGTTCAAATATTACACAACTCTCCTGTAATCTGACAGATGATTTTAACAAGATTTTCCCTGAGTATTCTGCATTGGTTCAGAGCTTCATAGGAACTGAAGTATTCAATTCTTCTGTACTTCATTTTACACCATTTACAGACAGTAAGTTCTCTGTCTGCATTTGCTCATTTTAGTAGTTTTTATTGATAGCTGATGTATAAATGATATTCTGCTAGCTTTACAGTAAGACACTCCAAACTAACTTAGTCAGTAGCTTATTCCTTTATGTAAGAGAATATGAATTTGTATATAATCTATCACATACCAGTTACAAGACGTAGAATATACAGACAGCTTTCTAAAATTAGTGGCTACAGTAGTTCTGATAAATGGACGAGGCTCTGGTTTTGAGATAAAATTTATATATAATTGTAGAGGAAATAGCATCGTGTCAAGTATTGACAAGCACAAAGTAAAAATCTCTTAAGTGCATAAGATACATGACTTAAAACAACATTGTTTTTATGTCTTCTTTGAGTAGTTAATGTTAAGAGTTAAAGAAATACCATGTCTGCACTAGGTATAGGGGAAGAGATGTACTTGTTTGTTCATCAGCCTGCTCTTTTCCCTTTCCTTGCTGAAAGAAGGTGCTTCTTAGCTGTGACATCTTCTAATGCCAGAGGTGGCTTCACACTTAGTTGTGCTTAGTATTCAGTTTTGAAGTAACAGAGGCAAGAGACTGAGGAACAATTGGAGGGCTACGGAGGAGAAATAGGTCATGTTACCTCTGAATTCAGCACAGAGGTAGCTGCTGCTGTGTCCACTTACAGTCTCAGAAATTATGAAAAATTGGAGGGGATGGGGAGAATAGCCACAAGGATAACTGAAGGATTTGAGAACATCCCTCTGAGGTGGAGGCCTTCAGTTGTTCAGCAGTCAGTTTAATAAAGAGAAGGATCAGAAGGTGAACTGACCACTAGTTAATAGGATGGCAGGCTTCTTCAGTCTTGTAAACAAAGCATAACAGCATGCCCTGACTGGAAGCTGAACCTAGATAAATTTTAGCTAGGAACAAGAGGCATATTTTTAGTTGACCACTGGAACAAACTGTCAGATGCTCTGACTGATTGTCCATCACTGGCAACTTGTAAACTGAAACTGGATGTTTTGCTAGTAGTTCTCTTGTTCAAACCATAAGCAATTGAGTCAAGTCGCGTTTTCCAGGGCACGGTACTGAACCCTGTAGTCCTTTTTTGTTTTACAGTGCCTGAATAGGAAAGAATCAATATTCTGAGATATTTCCCTACTGGGTGTAGTTGATATCTACCTTCAAATACCTATGGTGGAATCTCACTCCTGTTGACAGATAGATTGAGCAAAGACAGAAAGGCTTCCTAGCAAAAAGCCAGGAGAACAACCACATTTGACTGTAACCAGATTTAAGCTAATGTTAATTTGTAACTTAAAAAATGAGAAAGGAGTAAGCGTGCAACCATTTGACTAGGACATGCTTTCCTGTTTGAGAGGAGATGAAAGCTCACGTTTGTTCTAAGTATTAAACTTTCTTTTTGCTTTCTACCCTATTTCAGGAACAGAAGTAATTACCAAATTTGTATTGCTTTTTTGAATTTTGCAGAGGTTGGCAAACCAGTCTCCACCTTGATCAAAATGTACATGCTTTTGGAAAAGACAAAAGTGAAATGCAAACTCTAAATTTTCGTGGTTTTTTTTTTTTCCCCCCACAATGTAATACACAGAAATGGAGGATTATGGAGATAGTTTGT